TAGGAACATTTGGGCCACTAGGGTGATCAGGTGTTCCTATGTGGATCTAATTCGGCACCGGGAACAAAAACAGAGTGTGGCAGCAGTGATACTCTCAGTTGGACTGTCCTAACTAATATGATATTTTATTTGTTGCTGTAATAACCCTAAAATGACTAAAGAAATACAGTAACAAATTATTTACATCAATATACTAACATTTAATATGACTTGTGCTCTTTTCAGAGTTTTTGTGTTCTGTGAGGCCAAAGGTTAAGTGTTTCTGCAATTCATCTTAAGACTTTTTTTTTTTTAATACAGATAAAGAACTGCTCAACCCATTTAATTTTTATATTATTATTTATATAAACTCAGAGCTGATTCTCCAACTATCAAAGAATTTGTGTCCCTGGCAGAAATAGTAAAAACAAAAACAGGTTTGTCATTGTTTAACCATGCTGCAAATACAAGGCACAAAAATGGACATAAAAAAACATTTATGATAGATTGATAAATTACTATTAAAATGATATAAAATATGGTTTCATATTGTTTGTCCTGTATCCCTTTGCCAGGTCTCTTAAGACTGAAATGAAATATAATTCAACAGTAACTTTATTTAAAATGCTGCAGAACTTCCTTATTTTCCTACAAAAAGGTCTACTTGAAAGATATATTAGTGTTCTATTTCTTTTTCATAGGAATATTATGACCGAATTAGACTGTAGATGGAGAATCACCCTTAAACACCTTAAATGTACATTGGTGTGTAGATTTTTATAGAACAGGAATCAGGAAAATCTGGTCTGTCATCAGCCATTTATTTGAAAATACAGTGGTTATGCTTATTTACTGTGAGTTATGTGAGTGGAGTGATTTCATTATAAAATAAATCAACATTAGATAAAATACTGTTTCTCTATATGCTGTTTGTGGTCAGGGGACCCGGTAGAAAGAATAGATATAGAAATATATGTATGATGCTTCTAACATTGCAATCAACATAGTGTAATGTGTATTAATGTATTAGTGTTGCACCGATACGAGTATCATGCAGGGCCCGATCCAGCACTAAAATTGTTGTATCGGTATCGCCGAGTTCCAACAAATAGCGCACTGATACCATTTTGTCACCTATTCCTGGTAGGCAATAAAAAGTTCTACTGGATTCACTTTGTATTAGTCTTTTTCCTGCTTCACAAAGGTAGGCAGCAGCTTGACAAAGCCATGATGGCAATTATTTAACATCCAAGTAGTATGCAGTTCTTCATATATACACACATCAATTTCAGACAGATGGTATCGGGGCCAAAAAGTTGCGCATATATATATATATATATATATATATATATATATATATATATATATATATATATATATACATGTTAAAGGATCTTGACACTCAACAGCATCTCATTTGTCAAAGCAAGCCGATTTAGGGCTGCAATTATTAAAAACCACTAATCTATAGTATGTCTAACCTATAGCTAATATAGGCTTATTCATCCTGCCACCAAAGAAGCAACAATAATATTATAGAGTGATTGGAAACATGCCAACACGACATTATATAACCCAATTAAACATAATTCGTGCTTAGCTGGGCAATATATTCCTGTAAAACCAGAACCATGTGTTGTCTGCAACTTACACCAATAATAATATTAAAGGTTTCTACTTTTCCAGTAGTTGTATTTTTAACCATATAAGTCAGATTGACAGACACAGGTCAGTAATGAACCCCGGTTTGTTTACATTAACCTCTAAATGCTCATTAGTTGTCCTTTACTAGCCCTGTGCGGCTAGCTAGTTAGCTTCAGTCAATGACAGCATTAAACTACAATCCCAACTAACGCCTAATGCTTCATTATTATCTTTCATGGCAGAAACCCTGCTGGCTGAAAGCTGAGGAATATTTACCCAGTTTAGTCACACCGTCTGCCAGGCAGCGGTCCCACTTTTTACCGAGTTCCTTCTCAGACATTCTGACTTTAGCTCCTGGCTAAAGGTTTCAGCTGCAGCTCTGGCTGCTGCCTTTGAGGACCGCTCGGAAATGTACAAGACTAATATGATGTGTTGGAAAATTAAAGTTAAAATACGACACATGGAAAAATCGGTGAATAGAACATTCCCATTGAATCATATAGCTTTTTATATTACTGTATAAAGATTTAACTCATAAAAATGCTGTTGGTTTAAAAAAAAAAACTCTTTCAAAGATGGCTTTTATTTATCTGTTTCACGTGAATGCACCAAGCAGCTACTTTTGCAAAAATGCTGCCACCTGCCGGTGAAAATAAAACAAACATTTTCTAAAAGGATCTAGGCCTAATAATAATTTAACTTTATTGAGCTCACATTACTATGAGACACGACAACAGACTGGCTCCATCCATATCAAGATATTACACAGTAGGACATTCTGAATGCAGGGTGAAAGAGAGCTCGCTGTTAAGAGTAATCCACTGTCTGTTTTTATTCAGTTATTCAACAATCCAGCCACCCAATAAAATAAGAACTACGGACCCCCAAAGAAAAAAAAAAAGACCCCGCTAATTCGTAACATAACACAGTGCTGAAAAGAGATCCGATTCTTGCTTTACTGGTGGATTTAATATATTCTGCAGCACTCAGTGTCATTGTTTGCTTTTATAACTAACTCCATGTTAATACTTATTTCTTTAAAGTCAGAAATTAGAGAGAAAAATACACAATAAGTGACTCAAACAGGGGAAACCGATGTGTAATTCTAAAATCCGAGTTTTTTTCTTCAATACTTTAATCCTCCACAAGATCACGCCCACAAGAGAGCTGGTCCACAGATGCGTTATCTGTGTGGACATTTGGTGTTTGTAATGCTTTCAAATGCAGGAATATAATTATGTTATGCTATGTTTGATTTGATGTTTTCTACTAAAATTACTTAAAAGGTTCCTAATCTTTAAACTGGTTTCAGAAATAAATAAGATAACATTTTTGGTCTAAAATATCACGTACCAGTAAAATGGGCAGAATTCAAGCACTATAATTATTTTTGCAAGGTAGATTTTTGACTTGCCATGTACCATAAACATTATGGTCTCCCTGTAAAATATTGTAATTCCATTGTCTTTCAGAAACCCCATTCTGTGTAAAACCAAAGGTTTGTGTAAGAGATTAAACTTTTTTTCCCCCTTAAAGAATTATTTTCTGATTATGTAAAATATACCCAAGGAAAATTAAAAGTACAAGATGTAGTTAAAATATCTTTTCCAGTTTACCATAGAGCCAAAAAAACTATAGTTTTAAAATATTAAAACAAATATTTGCAGAATTGTTATCATAAAAATATACAAATTAGTCTACAGAGTGAGTTTTCCGTTTATTTATGTCAACATAAAATACTTAAGATTCAAGATTATTTTGTTTTCTTTTGCAAAGAAATATCCACCCACTAACAGCTGGGGAGATAGTGCTCCCATTTTCTCCAAATTACATGAATATTTATGAAATTAATATTTATCAAACATGTACCTTTGTTTTTATGATAAAACAAGATTAGTCTCCTGATAGTTTCAAGAATTATTTTGTTAAGAACTGCCAAGTCCATTCTTATAATACTAGACAAGCTTTGTCTTTTCATTTTCCATTAAGTATTAAAACTCAAGAACAATTTTATTTTTCGGTATCTCGGAGCAAAACTATAGAATGAATATAGAAAATATTTCGAATCTTTAGAGATAAATGGTAGAAAGAAAGAAAAAAAAATACTGTTATCCAAAAAAAGACAATAATGTATGATTTTACAAATAATGGCTGCCTGAAATCTGAAATTTAAGATGTTAAAAAAAAAAAAAAAATTATATATATATATATATATATATATATATATATATATATATATATATATATATATATATATATATAGTACATTTCTGTTTTCTCTCTCGAGTAAAATGTCTTTCATAATGTGAGTTTCCTGATGTTTTGTCTTTCTAGGGGTGGCCTTCGGTATAAGCCCGATGACGTTTCTGTCACATCACATTTCTTATTTTATTGACGTATTCTGAGTTTCTATTTTGATTTGTGAAAAAAAGATAAATAAAAACAATATATAATATAAATATGAGAGCTGGGGAGATACATGAAGCTGAACATCTGTCGATAACTGTAATGTTGTAATGTTTAACAGCTCATGGACATTAATGGACATTAGAAACAGACTCAATGAGAAAATAACATTTATTTGTGTCTTTTTAAATATTTTGAATTATTAGAAGCCTTCTCTGTTAAGTAAAGTTTCTTCAAATCATTTTTAATTCAGTTCCATTTTTATTCAAAAATACAGCTGATTGGGAGCAGGAGGGATGAAGAATCCTCTGACTGAAAACACTCTAACGGTGTCAAATCTAATAACAGAGCTGTATTTTTTCTTGTTCTACCATTGCCTACGGTGTTATTAGAATTAAAGTTTATGAAAATGATCCAACAAAATGTATAGATTGAATTTTATTTAACACACGCCGCACACGGTCATGAAGTCATACTGTAGCATGTCTAAAACTAAGTTCCTGAGATGACAACAGTTTCAACAACAAACATTTCAAGAGGTGGCATGTTTTTTTTTTCTTTGTACAAAGACTGAGCTGGTACAATTAAACTGCTTCTAAATCTGAAAATTAGAATAGATCCCTACCACAAAAATCCCTTTGCAAACAAATTAAAAGTATAAAGCAATTATGACATAAGAAGCAGGTGAATCTTTGTGAAACGGCCAAGAGTCTTTTCTTTTTTGGCAGCGAGCACAGAGTCTTACCCTGTGTGTGTGGAGAGGGGTGGCAGTTGTTTCTGCAGGCTTTTCACTCCTAAGTGAATGAGACTGGGACTATAGTAAAACTAAACAGGAGGTAGAAACTGTATCTCTTAAAAGTAACTGACATAAGTCCTTTTTCCGATGGGTATCTTAGTGACCAGCTACACATCTTATATCAACAGCACGGATTATGGATTCACTTGCAGGACAGCAGTGATGACACAGTTACTCTACAAAGAGCTTCCCTAACCCTGGAGTGCACACACTGGTAAACGTAATGAAAGCTAAAATGCTGTGTTCAAGTGACCTTCGCTAGAAAATTCACAACCCTGTAGTCTGCTTTCTCAGTCCTGGTGCTCTGATCAGTCGTCAGACGATGCCTGTGGGGAATGCTCCCACTCCGCTGCTGGTGGGGATTTCTGCTTGGCGTCGTCTCTCTCTATCTTCACCGACCCCTTGCTGATGGATAAAAGGTCCCGAAGCTCCTTGTTTTCTATCTGAAAGAGGCGGAAAACCCAAATGTTAAACCAGTAATACATTACCAAGAACAACTCGTATGAAAGAGATGGATTTAGATTTTGTTGTGGGTTTTAATACCAACAAAAATAACAGGACTGAAGTCAAATCTTCCCAGTTATGTGAAATCAGAATTAGCATGACATAAAAAAAGCTACAATATGTAATTTCCAGCGACATCTAATGGTCAAACTGCAGAATGCAGCAATATGAACCGCCCCCTTGTCGCCTTTCCCCCTCCAACGATATGGAGGCCATCAAGGTAAATAAATGGCTTCCCCAATCCCCGTATCACCTTTCTTGTCAAGTGATGACAAAGTTTGCTTACACAGATCATTTTATAAATAGTTTTGATATCAATCTGTGTAGAATAGGTTTTATATAGGCCTAACTTGTAATTCTACCATTGACTGTAGCGATCTCTGCAGTCACTAGTTTCTCAGCTCTGTTCCGCTAAAAAGCAAAGATGTCTGCCTCCATCAATGCAAGATAACATACAGTCAGTTAATTCTTGTAACTATTACACAATTATTACACTTTTTGTATATTTAAACTGTATAAACTGGAGCTCTGGGAAATTTTTTAATGATACTTTCATAGTTCTGAAGTTTTTATCTTAAATCCGTGTCCATTGAGGACATAGAGACCATATTTCATCATTCTATCTCTATTCTCCCACTTCAGTCATTTTCAGTGATTAGTCCTGTTTCTCTCTTAGAAATAGCTATAGGCTCTGCCTTTACTGTAACCCACTATTACCCCATTTATACTACCCTTAAAAAACCGATCCATGCCGAGACCGGTCCGAGGTCGGATCAGTTAACCAGGCCGAGCTCGGTTCTGACGACCGTTTACACATCACGCTATCTCGGTTCATCGACTCCTCGCCTCCTAGTGACGATCTGCGGTGTTACTGCCAAGATTGAAGGAGGAAATCAAGCAGTTGGTGGCGGTAATGCACCAAAAGTTGTTTGCCAATCGCCATAAAACACAAGAAGAGAAGATTTCGATTATTGTTTATAGTAGTTCTTCTTCTTGTGTTTTGTGTTGGTTGGCAAGCAACTTCTGGAGGGGCATTACCAGCAACTACTGGAATGGAGTCTGAATCGGGATGTGCAGCCAGACGGAGATGACGCGTTCTGCTCATCCGCTCTTATTATCAGAGAACCGAGCCAGGGAAAAACCGAGCCGAGCCCACCTCTGGAACTGGTCTGCAGTTAGCGCGTTCCGGTTGTGTCTAGCTCGGTTCAGTTCAGTTTGCTTTCCATTTACACACGATAAGTTATCTCAGTTACTGAGCTCGGACCGGTCTCGGCACAGTTTTTCAAGGGTAGTGTAAATGGGGTATAAATGTGCTCTTTCATCCATTTTCACAGGAAAACCAGCCCAGAGCTCGTCTGATTGACTGTCTCTTTCCCCGACAGAGTCACCTGTATAAATAGCTTACTGTTACCTTTTCTAGCATAGCTATACCCCATTCACACTACCCTTGAAAAACCGCGCAGAGACCGGTCCGAGCTCAGTAACTGAGATAACTTATCGTGTGTAAATGGAAAGCAAACTGAACTGAACCGAGCAGCAGTGCTTCTATGCTTCTTTTGCATGTCTGCTTCTGTCTCCTTGATCCCCCTGTTTCAGCAGAAGGCCGCTCACACTGAGCCTGGTTCTGCTGGAGGTTTCTTCCTGTGTTCCCGTCTCTATTAGAGCCCTACTGATTAATCGGTGGCACAATTTATTAGGCCTTATTAAGCGTCTGGCTCAGTAATTGACTTCTGCCAAAATGCGGCCGATGTAAAAATTCTGTTTTTGCTGCAAAAAGTAAGAACAAATTTCTTCTGCTGTTTTGGCTGCAGTAACCTGGACAGAATTAGATTACTGATGGACTGATCTACCAATAAAAACAGCCCTGGTTGGAAGGTTTTTTTTGTTTTTTTTAAACAAACTCTGAATCAACAATAGAGTTTCTGAAGCTTTTCTGACTGAATGAAAAATGCCCTCTTTTTTTCTAGCTTCTACCAAGTTAACCTTAATTTCATAAAACCAGGATAATCTGAGATTTTTGTTTACAAACAATAAAAATGTCTCTCACCTCTAGCTGAGCAAGCCTCTCTCGAACAGAGCAGTAGTGCTGATCGTCTGCCTGCACGGCTCTTCTCATCACCTGACCCATCTCACATATCCGCTCCACCTGGCTCTGCACTTCCTGGAGCAAAAGAAGCCATTTTTAATCCTAGCTATGTAAAAATAATCTTCTTGAGCAACCAAAGAACGCCACCCTACTCTGGCATGGTCCTGATGAAGGCTGAGCACGGGTTTGGTGTCCAGCTCCTTTTTTGCCATCATCAGCTGCAGCATCTGCTTGCGATACCGACCCATGATTAGTTCTAAGGCGTATTGGTGTTCTTCAAGAGACAGCCACAGTTCTGCAGAGATTGTACAGAGCATTAGTATATTAAAAAAACATCCACTAAAATAAAGCATCAGAAGGAAATAATACCTTTATTTTCCTGCTGCAACTCTTTAATTTGGGTGTTTTCTTGAGTCAGGAGGACATGAGGCTTGTATTTGGTCAGATCTTGAATCTCTGAGCTGTCTTCTGTGTGCTGAAAGAAGGAAAGACAAGCAACTAAGAACAGAAGTTGTTTGAAAAGAGCCTTGTTGCAACTTTTTCCAAAAGATTAAAAAACAAAACAAAACAAAGAAAACAATTCACTGGACTTTACTTCCAACTTTTAAGATGTTTCGCTTCCCATTCAGGGGGCTTTTTCAATTTAAATTGTCAGAAATAGCGTTGAGTTCGATGCTTTATACAGTAGCCCAACAAAGCCTTTTTTGGCTTAGAAAACGTGCAAATTGAATCAGACGAACAGCTCCACCTCTGTTAACGGCTGGTTATCCTCCCGCAGCAGTGTGTCGCAGTGAGCTTGTCACAGATATTTCTAATTAATGTGCAGTATTGAAGCGTGGTCTACGCCAAGTTATTCCACGCCACAACGCAAGAGGGACAATCTAGCTGAGGGTCTAGATACGGTCGAGGCGGTGAGGAGGTGGGGGCAAGTTTGTCCGACAACAGAGGAACATGAGGGTAAAAAGAGCAGGGATCCAGGTGGAAAAAGGGTCCCAGCGTTCTCGCTCTTCTACTGGTCCATCTTCACAATTTTCCACAATGGTGGTCATACAAACAAAACAAGCCGGTAAGGTAGCAGACAGGAAATGTGTATAGAGTGGATGTAGATTTGACCAATCAGAGGCATCCTGCATGGCATTCACTGCAACGCAGATGACCTGGTTTCTGAGTATAAATCAGCCTTCAGCCTTAACCCTGCAATACCAAATACTGGTCTATGTCTGTGATGATAGGGGGTCATTAGGTGGAAATATTGGACCTTTATAGACTGGACCAAGAACTTATTTGTTTTTAGGCTGTTGTATAAAACCTCAAACTCAACGCTATTTCTGACTTTTTTATTCGAAAAAGCGTCCTGGATGGGAATCAAAATGTCTTCAAACTTGGAAACAAATTTAGGTGGAATTTTTTTTTTTTTTTTTACTATTTGGAATGACTATGACCTGGATGACAGGGAATCTTCCCCATCACATTGTTGCAACCTTTCCAGTGAATGCATCAGAATCACCACAATAAAAGGACTAAGATTCCCAGGTCCCTAATTTGTAGGAAAAAATCTGTATCTACCAATACAACTAATCATATTCTGCTTAAATCCTGAATAAAGATTGAATCTTCAATTCAAATATTACACGCAAGTCTTCATCAAGTCTGTCCATCATCCCTCACTGTGTTACAGACTTATCTGCATATTTAGACTTTAGGTACAGTGCACCTTGGGAATATTTTCATTCCACTGAAACGTTTTCACATTCTGTTACCAACCTGAACCTTCGTCATTGTGTTATCTAGGGATTGGATATAATGGGCCAAATCAATGATTGTTGAGTTTCTGGAAAATAACTGGTGCCCCACAACATGATGCTGCCAGCACATATGGCTTTTGACCATATTTAGTATTTCATACACAGGTGTAACTTTCTGAAGGACTGGTGTGGACAGTCCCCACCAATATTTTCCGCTTTTCCCCTTTCCGCTCATTTACTTTAGCCGAAGGTAACAGAGGTTGGGTGCAGCTATCTGTGTTCAGAGCATTTTTAGTCTGTCGTGTGATGTCCCACCTCTCGGCGTGACATCATCGGATCTCTCGCTTTAAGACATCTGATTTGCGGTCACATTTCACTGCGTACGGAGTAACTAGCAATGGAGGAGAGACACACAGCAGCACTCAGTGAATATTAACCTACAGCTACTTTGATGTTTGAGCAAAAGTTAGGAGACGGCTTGGTTAAAAAGATTAGAGATCATACCACTGAAAAACCTGTTTGTTTGACATACGGGGTTTTTCAGCTAAAAATGATTGGCTTAGGGCCACCCCTGGCCCCCCATCTAGCCCCGCCCCTGCATTTTGGAAACTACAAAAACCTAATGAAAGTGTTTAGGTGGAGTAACTGTAGGTGTATCAGCCTCCACCCTTAGAGTGTCCCCACCAACTTTCATCGCAAAGTTACACTCTTGATTTTGTATATAGGTTAAAAAAAAGATTATATAGTTTACATTTTATCAGAGAACCTCCTTGTACTTGTGTGCTTGTTCACCTGCTTCTAAAGCAAAAAAATAGCATTTAAAGTCTGCCTTTTATCCTGGATTTCATCGAGGAAGTATAAGATGAAAAGGGGGTGAATATATCTGTACAGCATCATTTTCAGATTTCCTCCTTTTACTTCACTCCCCTTAAAACCAGGCGCTTCCATCCTTCCCTCTGTGGTTTCTATGTGTACTGACAGCGTGTAATCAGACGGAAGGGTCCTACCTTGTCAGGCAGAGCGTTCCCCACCTCCTTCATGCTCTGCACCCGGAGTCCCAGGGCCCCGGTTTGGTCTATCAGACCCTCGGCGGCTGTATCATGATCCTTCAATCTCTCCAGAAGGGTCCTCGCATCGCACAACACTTTCTCAAAAGTGCAGGCCATTGACAGCAAACCGACAAGTTGGTTCGGTGACGTAAGAGAGTGGCTTTAAAACCGTCAGCGGAGAGGCAGAGACGTCTTCATATGAACGTCTTCATACCAGCGCAGATCACGTTTAACACTATGGTTTTGAACAAACGATAAACTGGACGCAGGCAGTGAAAATAAACCGATTTTGTTGTCAAATTCGTCGATCGTGTAAGGCAAAACCTAACGTCACTTCCGCATCCCCTTGCCTTCAACCGTGCTGCATTTAAACGCACAGCATAGCTCGGAAAATCTTACAACAAGGTGTATATCGATGTTTTACACATTGAGAATTCTCACATTTAACATTTTCTGAATGCAGAAGAACAAAACACACAGTATGGATTAGCCTTGTTAGTTCACGTGTGTCGTGATGTGATTTCGGCAACATATATATCGTGTTGCTGGCAACTCCGATCTACACAAATGCCGCAGTAATCTTCTTTCTTGACATATAATATTTTATTTTGTCTGACAGAATACTGCCATCTAGTGGATTACTTTAAAATAAACATGGTCAATATGATCGACCTCTTGTATGTATGTATGTATGTATGTATGTATGTATGTATGTATGTATGTATGTATGTATGTATGTATGTATGTATGTATGTATGTATGTATGTATGTATGTATGTATGTATGTATGTATATATATATATATATATATATATTCATTATTTGAAACTAAAGTTTTATAATTATATATATAAAACTTTACTTTAAAATATTGATTGATTGATGTTTTTTTTATTTTATCAGTTGATTTGTTCCTACTAAAAAAACTTTGTAATAAAATGCCTTACAGAAGCAAACTTCAAGACTATCTAAAAAAAGGGTGTGCATATTTTTGATGTAAGCTTTTATTATAAAAAATGAAATGTAAATATAAGTTGGTGATACATTTAGCTTGGTTTATCTTTTGAGATATACTTGTCATATTGTTTTTTTATCATCAATAAACATCTTTTTGAATAAAAACGATTTAAAAACTGCTAGCCTTGTTGGAACCCACCAGAGGCCCTTAAGCCTCTGGGCTCGTCTGAGCGCTGAACCTCTTCCACCACATTAAGGTGGCAATTCATAAAAGCTGGATGATGACCAAAAGAACAAGCCCAGATACAAACAGCTGAAATGAGCTATCATCTCAATGTAGCTGGGCCTTCACTTAGAGATAAGATAGTAAGAGGAGCCCAGTCATCAGGGAGAGACTGCGAATCTTCTTCACATCGAGAGCAGTCAGCTAATGCAACGTTCTAAACATCCATTTAGAATTTCCCTGGACGCCTCCTTTAGGAGGTGCTCCAGGTACACACCATTTGGAGGCACAGTGGATAACCCCGAGCAGCTGGAGGATGTGTCTGAAGAGAGGAAAGTTTGGGAGTCTGTGCTAAGACTGCTGGGTAAGCATACGCTATGGGTAGGCAGAAGCAGACCAGTACGAGTAGAAAATCAAGCTTTTTTTTTTATCAGTAAACCGTAGATGTTGAATAAAGACAGTCTTTACTCTCTCTCTTTCCTTTTTCACCTTTGTGTTTATTACAATTAAAATAAGCCCAGAGCAAAGTACATAGCTTGGAACATTAAAGACGATGATCCGCTTAAGAAGGTAAATTTGTTGGGTCTTGCAGCTTGACACTAACTGCAGTTCTGTGTGACAGGACACCTTATGAAAAAACAGAATAAAATCAGTATTTCAAAGGTTTGACCATACTGCATATTGAATATATCTTGCTATGGTTGAGGTTAACAAAAGGTTAATCATTTTTAAAAGAAAAAAAAGTTCTACTCTCGTGAATTTTTCCATGATAAAATGTGCAAGATTAATTATTTGTTTTTGCAGTGACAATGTTTTTAATAACAGACTGATTAATAAAGTTAACAAGTTTGAGGAATCCTGATATTCTGCTTAACTCTTTTAAATCTCACCTTGCAGATTATTGCAGGCTACTATGTCTTATTTGGCTGTTATATTTATGGTCAGTTCAAGATCACATATGCGGTTCCTCAAGGCTCCATTTACAGGCCAGGCCACCTCCATTTAGTTTATATGTGCACCTTGAATTATGGAGTCTTTTACCATATGGAATATGATGATTACTACCAGCACCCCTCTCAACCCCATTAAGCATGTCGGAAAATTGATATATACTGATTACGCACAACTCTTACATTTCTCTACAAGTCAGTGAATGTATCCAAGGTCAAAGATTTGAAAGAGCAGAAACTTGTCTAGCTTGATACAAACAAGGTTTTATTGTCTTTTGTCACAAAACATGCAAAGTTACAGAACAATTTTAGGCTAGACTTGATTGGCATCACAAGGTTGAAACAGTTTTCTTCCATGCTTGAAGGAATTATCTACGGTTTTCTCTAATAATACATTAAAGGATTGTAATTGTCTCCTTAAATGTCCCAATTAAAGAAACACCAGGGCCTCGAGCCAATGAATGACTTTGGGCCTAAACATGTTTGTCAGGTGTGAGCCATTTCAATCACTCGGGTCCCTATAGAAATGTTAACTTAGTGTTTCTAGGAAACCAAATATAAAAGGAAAGTTGCATCCAATCAATCAATCCACATTTTATGGATGGATGAATGAGACTGAAACTGTGTGCATACTAGGGAGGCATGATGTATTGCTGTTGGCATCAGAATCGGCAGATATTCATCCTTTTTTTATACGTCTAACTATCCATAAATATAAATATCAGTGTATTTTGGTTCTTTTGTGTTCTCAACAATAGGATAGCATTTAAAAAATATATGTTTGAGCTCAATTTTGGAAAATACAAACCTATTGCCTATTGAAAGTGTGTTGAGTAACTGTAGGTCCATCAGCCTCCACACTTAGAATGTCCCCACTAACTTTCATCACAAAGTTACACCCTTAGCCCAAGATAACTTACAAGTTTTACAGAATATAGGAAACAGAATGAGATCTATCAAGAATGTATCAAAAAGTATTAAAACATTAAAGTATTTTAATAAGGTTGGTTTTGGTTTAAGGAATAACATGTTCTTATAAAAAGATTTCATACTGATACAGCGACACGACTTCAGGCTTGTGTTCTAATATTTAATTTGACTGAGGTCAATTTTCACCAACAAAGCAACCGTTTAGTTGCCTTTTGTCTATCATCGCGAGACTTCAGAGCCAGCTGAGAGATCTACTACTCTTTCTGGAACTTGATGTTGTCAAATATCGCGGGAACAACAAACACTTTACAGAATAAATATGATGGGGCTAGTGGTAAATTTTGTTTGGGTTCCGGCACATAACGAGATAAAAGGAAATGAAAGGGCAGACAGGATGGCTAAGGAGAGTACCAATAAGTTAAGGGTAGACATTAATGTTAGTTTTGGTATAACAGAAATAAAGGGTATAATTAAACAAAAAGCAAAAGAGAGGTGGCAAAAGTCATGGAATGAAGAAAAGAAAAGAAAGGAAGGTGGCTTTATAAAATACAAAAGAGAATTGGACCAATGAGAAGATCAGAAAGGAACAGGAGAGAAGAGATTATTATTTCTCGACTTAGAATAGGACACACTGGATTGAATAGATCGTTATTTTTGATAGGGAAACATCAGACAGGGAAATGTGACTGTGGGGAAGATGAGACTGTGGAACATGTCATTTTAAATTGTAGTAAATATTCGATACAGAGAAACAGGTTAATAAGGAAACTTAGTGACATGAAAATGAAACTTGACATTGTCGATTTATTGCAGAAGGAATCAGGAAGCAGAGGATATCGGGTTATATTTGAATTTTTGAAACAGATTAGGTTTTATAATAGGGTATAGTTTTATTATTTATTTTTTTTTTTCTGCCATGTAGTCCACACTCCATACCAGTTGGTGGCGGTAATGCTCACCTAACGTTTTTTGCCAACCGCCAATAAAAAATCAATAAGAAGAAGAAGAAATATAGCGGGAGCCGCCTCCCTAATCAATACGTAATGTGCCGTGCTGCTTCTAGCGGCGCTGGTGACAGTGCTGAAAGCTGTTGGGGTAAGTTTTTATACATATTTAAGTTTCATTGAACTGTAAAATGTAATTCTGAGACGTACAATGTCAATATATATTTTTTTATCGGCCAACAAACCGCTCGGAATGAGCTTGGTGCCTATCGTTAGCCGCTAACGCAGACGTTGGGCCTGGGTGGGGGCGCCTCGGTGTAAATCTCACACAACGGGCCAGTTAGCACGGCAGCATGCTAGAGCTAACCGTCGCTAGCCGCTTAGCTCTGTGAACGGCTCAACGACATTGTTGAAAACTTCAATAAACATGCTCGCAATTATCCCCATATATACATTCAATAGTTATATTATCGAAACTATGTCTGACTCGATAAAATATAAGTAAAACGAATCGTAAAAGTGTGCTTGCGGCTCTTACGTACTTTCTTTGTTTTCCAGTCCTCGTGCCGCTAGCCTTCAGGATGTTTTGTCCTCTTTTTGCTGTCAGAACAAAAAAAACGTAACTATTACGTTAATTTAATAGCTCCACTACTTTTATTGGTTATCATATGCCTTACAACGTCAACTCTAAGCTTGAATTGTTGTAATTTTACCCTTATTTTATTTAAATCCAACTGCACTGTAATTACACTTAAATATTTTATTCATCATAATATGGAAATATTATGTGGGATACTCGATGTGGGATTACGCCATTGTGGCTCAGTCCTCTACTAAGTTCCAGGTCACATTTTGTACTAACCTTGAAACCCCAACGTATATTTAATCTTTCTATACGAAAATAGTCCATGAAAACCCAATTTATATGTCTTACTTTTACCAAATATATATACATTTCTTTTTAAAAACAATCGCGTTATTGCATATTTTCCTCCTTGGGGTTTAAATATCTCTTTAAGAGTGGGACACTCCCGAAGCCTGTTTGGATTTAGATGCAAGCGACATGCTGATTTATTACAGTCAAGACGACAGTAACCGTCCATGTTAACTTTGTTTCTCTGTTTATTCAGTATTGAAAGGGGTATTTGGCGTTTCCATGTGTTTTTCCAGTGGAGCTTGTTAGCCTCGCTTAGCCTGGATGTGACGTGCATATTGCAACGTGTTGGCTCAGGCCATGGCTGCTGTTCCAGCAGAGGATAGCGGATTGTCAGGAAGTCACATGCTTGGCTCTGTCAGAGCGCTTTTCTTTGGGGCCTAGGAATAGTTCAGGCCCTGGCCTTTTGCTAACAGATTGAGTTG